CAAATAAGAACTTTGAAGGCCGACGTGGGGGCGGGTTCCATCTCACCTGCTGCTGGGATAGCCTGCTGCACAGCCAAAGCTGCGGCAGCCTCCCACTGGTGCCCCCTGGCCCCACTATAGCAAATCGTCAAATGAGAACTTTGCAGGCTGAAGTGGCCTGCTGCTGGGACAGCTTGGGCCGCGCAGCCAGCACTGCGGCAACCTTTTACCGGTGCCCCTTGGGCCCGCCCAGGCATAGTTCATCATCCTACGTGTCCCACCAGGCACACTCACACTAAAACCTGTCACAGCAAACCGTGGTTGGCGGACGGTGTGCCCGCAGCGACCCCCGCCACCAAGGTTTCTTTCCGCCTCGTGGGCTAATTACCCACCGGCTCGCATGCACGTTGAACTCCCCAGTCCAAGTATCAAGACGGGTAGATAGAGGAATTTTGCCAACATCCAGGACACGCCGGAACCCAAGTGGGTCTGTCGAAAGAGACGCGTGATCAAGGTCCTCGACTGCCGTAACGGCCACCCATGTCCGGCAAAGTAGTAGCCGAGCCAGACCTGGGTGCCCGACGTCGGTCTCGGACCCAGTCACCGGGTCAAAGATAACCGTAAAAATAAAAGTAAAATAATAAAAATAATAAAAATAAGAACAAATGTGAGGAAACAAAAAAGTAACGGGGCGAGGGGCCGCACGTCCCGCTGGCTTGTGACGCCGTGCACACCCAGATCGTGCATGGTTGCTCCTCGCCATCAATACCCCGCGCGCGCCGCTCACCCGGTCGAGGACTCAACTCTCACTCCGGAGCGCGCCGTCAACTTCGGTCGAGGCCGCACCAGCGTGGATTACAAAAAGCACGCCAAATACCCTTGTAAGGGTATTTGGTACGACAATGTATTGCGTTGCTAAATGACGTCCTGATAAAAAGAGGTGATCCCTCATCCATCTGCCCTGATTATCATTATGAATTCCCATCGGGTAATGACTCTAATGAAGTTAGAGAATGGGCTGCCTTGATTTTCTCAGAAATTGATAGCGATCATCGCTCCTTGTTGAGAGATTTCGAGGAGATTGTACAACAGATAAGGACCCATGAAGGAGATGTTGTGGGTCAGCTCATGCGGGCACACATGGCACTCAACACAAAGATTAACAGGCTGAATGAAGCTATATATCACAGCATCAAACCCAAGACAGACCCGACTTTCCTGCTGATTAGGAAAATGCTTATTTTCCAACTACTGCTCTCATTCTACGCTACTCTCATTATGGTCCTCACACAAGGGAGCATGGCCTGATAGGAATCCTCATCCAGAACAACATCGTCTCTTTTGGTAAAACATTTAAATGAATGTGGTTCCTTAAAAAAGGTCGGGACACCTAGCATCTGGACAAAATGAAGTACATACTACAAAGTGCTTGATATTGGAAGCTATGTGTAAGCCCGGATGCAGGCTATAAACCTGTAGCCTGAACAGTCGTACCAGAGCTTGCTGTGGGGTTCTTGGCATTTGTGCCATGGGGTAACATATTGTAACACACACAGAGAGGGGTTTCCAACGACGACCACGGCCGCCGTGCATGGCTCTCTCTCTCTCTCTCTCTCTCTCTCTCTCTCTCTCTCTCTCTCTCTCTCTCTTACACACAAAAAAAAAAAAAAAAAAAAAAAAAGTGGCAGTGTATGATACAAAATGATACAAAATGTAAAGCATTTCTGGACGTTACATATCACAGTATGAAACACTTCACCTCGCCATGCCACACCACAACGCTTTACCCTTCTGTCCAATACTGCTCAGGTAAAAGAGGAACATATGTTCCCAGTTGCTCTTTTTATCCTACCAATTCCTACTTACCAAGAATATTATTCCCTATCAACTGCCCCAGTGAAAGTCACTCCTAGCAGCCCGTAGCCTCGCGCCGCCGTTGTCACGGCGACCCAAGTTACCGTTCGGCGCCGCCGTGCTGAAGCAAACTTCCACGGTAAAAGAAAAAATGCGAAAATACAAAGTAATACAGCCCAAAAATTCTTTCACGGGGTCTGGTAGGCTCTAGGCGTACTCAACCCCCGTAGTGCTGTACCTGGCTCGTAACAAGCCGAAAAAAATAATAAAATAAAATAAAAATACGTCCAAACAGACAAAATTTTTTCTTTCACAGGGGTTCGGTCAGCCCACTGGCGTACTCAACCCCTGTGGTGCTGTATCTGGCTGGTATCACATCCGCTCAAAACCGTTTCGGCTTCTTTCTTCTTCGCTTTTCACCAAGGCTCTCACAGGCTAGCTGGTCCCCACCCTCCTCCCTCATTTCCCCCAGCTTAACAATTTCTGGGTCAAATCTTTCCAGAACAACGATTTCTCTTTTTTCTCCATCCTTTTCATCCCTGCTTTGAAGCTTTCCCACGGGCATCCAAGTATCCTCAGTTCCTTCACGAACGTTAGCAGGCTCCACCAAGTCAGGAACCTGGTGTTAGAGTTATCTGCAATTCGAAATAACGTGTTCGCCACAGTAGCATACTTCTGTATCTTTGGAGCAAAGGAATAAAAGCTTCTCAGTGTCTTAAATCGGCCGGGATGTCCGGTCCATATAGTCTCTATATTCTTGAACCTGTGCATGCTGTGTATCCAGGCTGGTGTATCGGTAACAACCAATCTGGTTTCCAAAAACTCCAGTATACCACAGTTTTCGTCTGTCCTTTCCAAAACCAAATCTTGATGATAACAACTCAGAATCTTGTCCAACACCTCGTTCAGCTCTGTTTCTCTTCCTTTGTCACACCAAGCAATCAGAAGCAGGTCATCAATGAAGCGATTGCCGTCAATGTACTTTGCGTCCGATCCCAGTGATGTCACGAATTGTTGCGCGACAAATATGCATAGAGTGTTTGCCAATGGAGGGCTTGCTCTCCCACCCATCGGAATTCCTGTCGTTTCCTTTAGTACTTGATCCATTGAAAAGAAGTATGTGCTCTCTAGTTGGAACTTAGTCAGTTCCATTAGCTCTCTCAAGCGTACCGATTTCCACCCACTTTCGCCGTGCGACTTCCCCAATGTTGCTTTCTTTCCTTTCGTTTTCAGTCTGATCCAATCATTCCCCCGATCTTTAAAGTGCAGCAGTAACCATTCCACGACTTTCAAGATTTCCGTATGCGGTAATTTAGTAAACATTTCCTTTACGTCATATGTCCTGACAATTATTTTACATTCCTTACCGAAGGTTTGATTTGATTTCATATTCACATTCCTCAGTTTTTCCTTCAGTTGTTTTGCCCCATTCATATTGAAATGTCTAACTCTCACCCTTTTTATGAGGTAGTTCAAACTCTGGGCTAGGTAGCCCATTGCTGTCCTAGCCGGGTTCAAAAAGGAAGGCACGATTGGTCTCTTCTTTTTTATGTCCTTGTCCTTCGATATCACATAAGCCTGTTGTAACCTCCCTTTGCAGTCCCATTTTGCAACTTTATACAACTTCTTCTCTTTGTATTTTTCTTTCAAAGCCTTCACAATCGCAGTTTCAGATTCGTCCACCTTTGAGTAGTTCTCATTATCATTGTACATCATGTGCATAGCCTTTTCGTACAAGACCAGACACTCTACAAGGGTGGATCCCGGATTCCGGTCCAGCGGAGAAAAAACAAGTCCGTCAAAGGCTTGCCTAATCCCCAGGACGTACTCCGTTCTCACGCACTCATCCGGAGGGGAGGTACCAACCAAACTGTACTCTCTTCTTCTGATGCTAAAGAACTCCGTCATGGCCATACACCCCATCTTCTTAAGAGGTTCAAGCGCGAAGTTGCAAGCTTGGATGACTTCCTGCCCAGTGTGGAGTTCACCCGGGTATGGGACATTTTTCGAGTTCAAAATAAATTCACGAATTCCATCTATCTCACTCAGTCTGACTTGAACGTGTCCGTCAATTCTGGGCATGTCAAATGCTTCGCAAGTGCAGGGCCATCCACTTCTCCTTGCGAAACGTTGGTGGTTATGCAACAATTCGCCGACATACTTAGATTTCTGCCAGACAAGTCTCATTCTGCCAACCAACAAGTCAGCCAAGTTAACAGGCTTAATTCGATCATGTAGCCATGTCTTGAACACGACCTGCAATTTTCCTTTACTGATCGGATCACAGTATGGTAATTTCACAGTGATCCTGTGCCTAGGATTGATCCCTAATACCTTTTTTGTTACTCTGATCAGAATGCCACGAGTGATTTGCCTCCCCCTCACTGTGTTTAATAGTTTAATGCCAACATTCAGATCTAATAATTCACATAGACTTTTTTTATACAACCCCTTTCTCTTCCAAGGCGCCCTCAAGATGGTGATTACTTCGCCCTTCGCTATCTCGGATTTATTCTTAGTTTTTTTCAGGTCAGTAACCACCCATTCACACCCGGCTTGGATTACTTCCTTAGCATCCTTTAGTAAAAAAATTTTCCCTGCAATTTGCACAGTACTAAACCCATAAATTAGTTTTACCAAACCCCACGCATTCAACCAATGTTCCCCACCCTTACTCCTAATTTCCAATGTTCGCCTTTCCTTTTTCATCTTCAGTATTTTCAGAAGGCTCGGTTCTCCCTTGATGCCCACTTCTTCACAGTCAAAAAGTATAACCTTCCTCTCCCACGCCTTTACATATCCTTCCCTCCTTTGCCTCCTCGACTTTCTCCTTGTTAGCTTCTTCTTAGCTTTTTTTTCATTCAAACCCGGGTTCATACATCCGATAATGAAATTTTCCATCTTGGGTAGAGAGGATTTATTCCCAAACCAGATAGGCAATGCAACGTAATTGTTAACTCCAACTTTCTCTAGCCATCTATGCACTTTCTGCTTAGGTGCCGTCTTCGCCGATCTTATGTGCTCTTGCCATCTTGCTTGTAGCTTCCTTTCTGTCTTTCCAACATATGTGAGTTTGTAAAAAGGTGACATCAAAACATATACACAATTTTCAGCGGAGAATACCAAGCTTCTTTCCTCATTATTGAGTTTCTTCCAGAATTTCAAGTAAGTCCTGCTCCATTTTATTTCCCCTTTGAGACACAAGGCAAGTACAAGCAGTTTCAAAATGCAGTCAGCCTCTCTTTCAATCTCTTCCCTGTACTTCTCAATCAGGGCCACTACTCGCTTGCACGCTCTCAAGATAGAGAGTTTAGTGGCATCAATTAGTTTCCCGCTATGTCTTTGCTTGTATCTTGCTCATCATCCGTGCTGTTCTCTTCTTGGTCTTCTTCTGTTTCGCTGCTCTCTGTACCCTGGCCACCTGCTTCCACCGACTGTCTCGCAATCAGTAGTACTTCAAAATCCAACCTGGCCAGTTCCCACACACCGCCTTATTTCCTCTTATACCCAATATTCTTGCTCTTGCAGAGGGCTTGTATCTCCGTATAGTGGAGTGAGTCATAGTAGATGACTCTGTCTTTGAAGTACAGTCCAAGGGACTCCTCGTCGCCCCCATTTTCCCGCTCTTTCTCCTTTCCGATAATTTTTCCACCATTCTCAGCCTCCTCAGTGGTTTTCTCCTCACTGGTCTGTCCCCTGTCCTTCTCCTTCCCCATATCTCCACCACCCGAAGTGCTAGCCGCGGCTTCCTTCGATGCCAGGAGTGCTTTCAGGAGATCCTTCAGTTCTGAGATCTCATCAGGTTTTTGTACGGTGGCGTCCAGCTTACCATGCAAATTCTGTACTCAGAAAGTTGCGCCTTGCTTCTCGCTCGCACCCCCCTTCTCAGGTGTCCAGATCTGGACCTCACCTTACTGGTTTTTGGTTTCACCGGCGAGTCACCATCCCTCTTTCTCTTTTCACTGCTCGATCCTTCCCTCAATTCCCTCAATTTCTTCTCTGCCCGTAGCAGTCTTAGCTCCTCCAATTCACCCTCCTTCAGTTTCGACTTTTTTTCTACCTCCTCTAGTTTCTCTGTCAGGACTCTTATGGAATTCCCGAAATTGTCTGCGACCCATCTCTTCATTTCGTCTTTCTTCCTATCGTCCATCATTTTCACTTTCCCTTTGTCCTTCGTCTTCCCTGCTTGCTTCGTATTAACCTCTTTCACTCTACTCTTCTCTTTCCCTTGTTCCTTCAGCCTCTCGATTTCTTCCCGATCTTTCCTCCTTGCGTCCTCAATTGCTTCCTTGACCTTCAACTTGTCTATAAAATCTGCGTGCTCTTTTGTGAAAAATGCTCTCTGCTGGTAGTTCCCATTGCTTCCTCGCCCGAATCCTTGGCTGTACTGTCCGCCTGCAGGAGGTGCTGCGGCTTGCCCGGGGTAGCCCCATGGAGCCGCTGCAGTCGGTGGTGGTGCAAAACTTTGCTGGATGGGTACAAACCCAAAGGGTGGCGGAGGATTGACAAACGGTTGGTGATACGGGGGTTGATACGGGGGTTGATACGGGGGAATGGGTGGTTGGCCTGCTTGCTGCGCCGGAGGAGCGGAGTTCTCCATCCAGTACCTCCCGCAGTTCGACCACCGACCTCTCCCCCTTCCTCTCCCGTATGCACGCATGCGTCACTCCCTCCAAATCCCCTCGTGGACCTCCCGTAAGCTTTGGAAAACGGAGCTCCCCAAGATCTCACGCAGAGTGTCCCGTATCAGTTTCCTAGTTAGGATCCCCACTCTCCTTACGCTAATTACCGTGGCGCATTGGTATGTACGCCCTGCCTAGTATGCACTCATTCCCCTCGTTTCCGCTGATGACGCGCCACGCCGTACGCCTGGATCAAGCCTACTCAGGACCTCCACTTCTCCTTACGCTAATCACCATGGCGCATTGGTATTCATACCCCCGGTTCCGTTGATGACGCGCCTCGCCGTACGCTTGGATCGCGTCCCCGGTCATTGTCTAAGCGTTGATGACGCGCCTCTTCGTATGCTTGGATCAAGCCGCTCTTCGTGTCCTTAGTCTTTGCCGAAGTTTTCCACTATCCCGACTTCCTCACTTCTCCGCAGCGCTCCGTCGGACGCCACCAGGTGTCCTTGTTGCACCGAATTATGGCTGTCCTCCACTCCGCACCATGTCACTGAATTCCCCCAATAACCCGCTCCCCACGGTTCGACCTTCTACGTTCCAGCTGGATATTCCTTCTCCTTGGCGGATAAACAATCACCACTCCGTCAGTTGCATTGCCAACTCACCTGTACTGCCACTACTATCCTCGGTGTGCGCGGAACACCCGCCACACAATTACCTAATTCCTACGTGTCCACTCCTCCACCTACGTCAGCCTCAATTTGCCCCCCTTCGTAACTTCCCCGCCGGTTGCGTGCCCATCAGCCCGTGACCTCGCTATCCTAGTGTAGCCGAGGTGAATAACGATAGAAGATTGCCTTCGCGTCTCGAGCATCAGACGTGATCTGCGCAGCTCCAGCACCAGACTCCCGCCACAGGATACAACAATGATCAACTCCAATGCTAATAACTAGTATAATATGCACATCAGCCACCGAGGCGACTAACGGCGCTACACGATCGTTCCTCAGCTTCTTGCAAAGTCGATCGCGCAGCTCTCACGCATGATACAAAATGTAAAGCGTTTCTGGACATTACATATCACAGTATGAAACACTTCACCTCGCTATGCCACACCACGACGCTTTACCCTTCTGTCCAATACTGCTCAGGTAAAAGAGGAACAAATGTTCCCAGTTGCTCTTTTTATCCTACCAATTCCTACTTACCAAGACTATTATTCCCTATCAACTGCCCCAGTGAAAGTCACTCCTAGCAGCCCGTAGCCTCGCGCCGCCGTTGTCACGGCGACCCAAGTTACCGTTCGGCG